TTATTATTTATTATCTCAAGCAAACAATAATCTAATACGAGGGTGTCCATATATACCTCTAAGTGCTCGAGGGATGTCCTCTGCTGGATGAAGGCGTCCCAATGCAGGAGACGCCATTTCATCATGTTCTGGGCTTCTCCAATCCCTTTGACTACTTCAAAACGTCTAATTTCGTCGTTCCATCTTTTCTTTGATCTTCCCCTAGAAAGTGTGTCCCTCCCTCCCTTGTTGCCAATCTGTAAGGAACTTTGTCAAGCTGTCATCTCCTGTTCGTGTTAGGTGTTCATCTTGATAGCGAGCCTGATGCCCTGGACTCTTGCCAGTTCTCCATGCCAAAAAATCTGTTTATTATTTTCCCTTTTGGTGATTCCCAGCGTGGATCTCTCCGTGCCCTTCTGGGAGGTCTTCTGCTTCTCCTTCGTCTTCTCCGTCAGTGACTGTAAATCCAAAAAATCCAAAGTTAATCCAAATTTAGATATCACGCTGCGCTGCTAGGTGCAACGGAAATTTTATTTAGTAACATGGGATCCCTCTACAACATTTTACCGACCCGCCAAAATTTTAACTCCTTTGGGGGGTCTGTAGTAGTAAATTGGCCAAACAAGTACTAAATGCAGTCAACTCTCGATAACTCGAAGTCCAAGGGAAATTCCAGTTAACGAAAATTCGAGTTATGGAGCTTCTTTGGATTCTGTGCTCTATAACATTGTGCATACAATACAATAATGAAAACCTTGCAACACGAACTCATTTTAGCATAATCACTTGAAAAAGTCAGTCAGGAGAGCTCGGCGTGTTTTCGCGGCACCCTCACGTTCGACGATATTTTCCAAGTGCGCGATTGCGTCGAAAGTCTCTTGTGTCAAACCAGATGAACCAGAACTCAACAAAGATCCGCAAAATTTCAATGGCATGAGGTTATAGCCGCGGTTGACAGCGAGGTTCACGTACACTGACTGGTTGACACCAGGGTGAAGTAACGGTAAGGTGTAGACGCAAGCACCCCGTGCCTCGTTGTAGCCTTGACTTTCCCAACGGAGTCGAACCGAACCAGGAATCGAAGACGTGAATCATCGCATTCTTGGGTTAACCGAGTCTGCAGAAAGGGTAGTTACCCAGCAAACAATTTGAAACACGTAACATTGAATCAACGTTGAATCAACATTGAATAAATGCTCGGAATGTTGATATAACCTTGGTCCAACGTTGCCTTGTTTGCTGGGTATATATCATATATGGGTCATTCAATACGAACTCAACCAATTTAATATAAAAAGGTGCCTAACCATCCCGCATTTAAGGTTAAAAAAACCTAAGCAATTGCAGGCGATCTAACATCCCAGGAAAAGAGAATCGCCTCCATCAGACCCGTGGTTAGCGTGATACCGCCCCGAAATTTGGGGGAAAACGGCAAAACCCATTCATGGTAAAATTTCCATCTCAGAAACGGGTCATCGCATGGAGGCAAGCAATAGCTTCAATCGGAGGTCTTTAATAGCTGAACAATTCTCTCCATACATCATTGCGGTTTGAATGAGATTTCAGCATCACAGTTGAGTTTGAAAATGTCAACTTTAAGGCAATATTCACCCCAAAAGCATCCGCTAAAAACTTGGAGATTCTAAAAATTCAGTTTTTCTTCGAGTGGCTGAATATTGAAGAGTAATGAATCACAACAAAATTTTTTGAGAGTTTTATGAGCTCTATGCGATGCTTTTGGCTCAACTTGTCGGTATGCTGACGGTCGACAACGATGACCGACGAACTGTCGATCGCTATTCTTTGCATTACACGTTTCGCTCACTAATGGACGTCGAGGTTGAACGACATTTTGACTCTCATGATTCACTTACAGTACATATAACTGCGATTTATTGAAAACACAGTATAGAGCTCTGAAAGACCTTTCCAGCAACATATCACACGACCATATACAGCTACTTGAAAATGGTTATAATTGGAATATGCAAGTTATGACAAATTTTTAAATACAAAAATGGCTCAGAAAATCATATATCTTTGGAAAGATCTTAAGCTCCTCTTTCTAATGACATCGTTTTTGATATCATAGGCGCTCCGTCACATTGAAAAATACTCGACCGAAGATGACAAAAATAGGAAAATTCCAATTTTGAGGTGAGGTGTGTTGCCGACAAAAATTCAAATAAGTAACTAGCGATGCATCTCAGAGAGGAGTAAAATAAACCGCAACGAGAAATTTGCCTTTTCCCTCTCTACATGGGGATGTTTCTGGGGTGAAAATTGCCTGAATTTCACATTTTCAAACTCAACTATGACGAGACATTGGAGCTTGAATGAGATTCAAGCTCCAATGAGCGAATTGTTCAGCTATTTAAGACCTCCATGTTATGGCACGCCCTGGTATGATGAAAGGTTACTGGGATGGAAATTTAGCCGTCCATGGGGGTTTACCGTTTTCCCCCAAAGTTCGGGGGTGATATCTCCCAAACCGCAGATCCGATGAAGTCGATTCCTTTTTTCCTGGGATGTAAGATTGACAGCAATCACTTAGCGTTTTTATCCCTAAATCCCAGATGGTCGAGCGCACCGCTTGGTTCAGTTCGTATGGGATGACCTTGATGTAAAGTTCGTCCGTGTATTTGTACAGGAAAAATATGAGATGTACAGGAATTATCAAGAAAGATCAAGGAGTTATCAAGAAATTTGTTTGATTGCAGTCGGAGCTAAATTGGGGGGGGGGGGGGAGAAATTCATTTTCCCTATGTGAATTCCGAAGGGAAACGCCGTCACTTCAAGTTATCGAGAAATTCGAGTTAAAGAGGTTCGAGTTATTGAGAGTTCACTGTATGTACTAAATAAAGTACCCTGGGGTGCTTTGAAACGCCACCTAGCCTATGACCATCCCCGGACCAAATGAAGAAGCCATGCATTGTTTGGTCGGACTGGGATCAGAGGCGTAGCCGTGCATAAAGGACAGAAAGACACACACACTCAAACACTGAAATTATGTATAGATGGCAAGTAACGTGCACTGATACCCTGTATATTTTCCTCTTCCGAAACATCGGCATCCTGCTCTACGTATCTAAGTTAAATCCTCCAAAGGCACTGCATCAAGTTCATGTTTACAGAAAAAATAGATGATACCGTTCGACTTCGAAGTTGTCCGAGATATGAAAAACTTTTGAATGGACGAACTCTTTCCCAGCTCGTAGGCTACTTACCACTGCCGGCTCTCCTCTCATGCATGAGACGGAATGAACGCCATCGACGTATTGTGGGCAATCCAGTTTCATTGCTACTCTTCAGTCCTACCACAATCCCGCTCATGTCTATAATGGCCCACCGCTGAGCCGAAGGATGTGCTGCAATTTGATAAGGTACATGCTTCATGGCAGAATCTTTTGGAGTTTCGGTTAGTTCCTTCTCTTATACTTCGGTAAGAGTACATCCAGTAATCCCTCATACCACCTGTTTCTATAGTAAAGGGTCTTTGCGATGGGAAGGGGATTGACCGAGATGAGGATGGCCAACCGACGGTTCCCATGAAGAATTCGTCGGGATTTCATCTGCCCATGCGACACCTGTATATAACCAGTATGGCCACCGATAACCTGGATTACAAACTTTCTGGATTACAAAGATTTTTCGCGAATACAAGTGGAATTTAACAAGTCAGAGCTTTCTAATCCTTTGTGGTATAAGCATTACTATCGAGTTCATCCTTTTCCTTCGACCATGTGGATTTTAGGCAAACGGGAACATGGACTTGACTCGCTGTCATCGGACGATTGACGAAATCCCTTACCGAGTTTACCGGAAAAAGGAACCGAAAGGCACTGTTACAGTCTTCGATCTTCGTGTAGTCAACTGACACTATGATAGTGTCCCCGAGTGCATACCTCCAAAATATCATCCCCTGACGCTTTTCGTGACCCCCATGGATGAAAGTTATCTTTTCGATAAACTTGTGCTCAGCACCAGAAATAGAAATGTACTTAAATGCCCGAAATTATCGCAGAGCACAGAAATTGTACAGGGTGGCCCAGAAGTAATAGGGCAGTTAGTGGTACAATCAGCAGTCACTACAATTTTATTATTATTTTATTATTTTATTTTTTATTTTGATTATTAGTTGATTTTTATTTTAATTTCAGAATCACTAAGTATTAAGTTTTGCAAATAAAAATTGTAGTTATAAAAATTGCTGATTGTACCACTAACTGCCCTATTACTTTTGGGCCACCCTGTATTTTCATTTTAAACGTTTCTGGTGAATCCTCACCCGTAGAGTACGATTATGCGTCATTCTTCCATGTCTTAGATCCATCCATGAGTGTGAGGAACCACAATCGATTTTCATATTGTCACGATGAATGAAGAAATGGAATTTCCAAAGTTGTCTCATTCCTTTGTGAAACAAGACCACAGCAAACCGAATGACGATTGGAGCTAGGAAATCGATACTCGCGACATCTGTCGCTTGTCAAAGCAGTTATTGGTTTCAAGTAGCCTCATGAGGGTTAGCGTCGTTAGTTTGCTACTTCAAAATGGCGCTAAGTCGCGGAAGGCAAACGTAGTGCTTCATAGTCTCAGGTATTAGGCTTTGCTATTTAAAGAAGGAAACTTTAGTATAGTGTATCAGTAAATGAGCATGAAACGGTATTAATCATATTGACATTACATCATACACATAATGCATAATTGTATGCGTTTAGAGTTGCCAGCTCTCGTTTCGTTCGGTGAACGAACATATAGGCCATGAAACAGGAAGTCCAGGCTGTTCCCTGATCTTTAGGCTTAGCACACGGTGGCTTACTAAGTAGGGACAGCCAGCAGGAGGAAACGTAGCTGTTATGTCCCCCTGCCGTCGGCTGGAACCCCATCATAACTGCCCATAAGCCCTACAAAAATGAGTTCTTAGGTCTGACGAGGAAGAGCTAGCGAGCTAGCAACCCCATACGCGATCAGTCTGATTTTCTATGCTATTGCCAAAATGATTGTGTGATGTGATGAACTGTTCCATTAATTTCAGGTTGATTTTCATAAGTGAAGTTTAGGCCAAGCTCTACTCGAAAACATGGATTTCCAAAATCGTCCTGGAGGAAAAACTGGCGGAGGAGGTGTTGCCTCATGGTCCGAAAGCAATCGAGATCGAAGGGAAAGATTGAGGCAACTTGCCCTTGAAACTATAGACCTCAACAAGGATCCTTATTTTATGAAAAATCATTTGGGTGAGGAGTCAACATATCATTCAGTCGTAAACATTTTCTTCTGTACCATTGCCTATACGAATGTCCTCAAATTAATGCTTGTATATCTTTCTTGCAGGTTCTTATGAGTGTAAACTGTGTTTGACCTTGCACAACAATGAGGGGAGCTATTTAGCTCATACCCAAGGAAAGAAACATCAGGCTAACCTCGCACGGCGAGCAGCAAAAGAAGCAAAAGATTCTCCTGTACAGGTAAGTTCTGCAAGCAGAAGGAATGGGAGTCTGTGCCTGCCTGAGCTTGAAGTTGATGTAGTTTCATAGATGAAATGATAACATAGCTCTAAGTTAAGTTCAATTTAGCCCAAGTGCTATTTTCAAAACTATAATGTTGGGGTTGAATAGATCATTGTCACTTGTGAAAGTAGTTGTTGTAAGTTAATAAGAAACATTACTGGGTTCTTTTATTAGGACAGAATTTTGAAGAGTGACAAGGTTGCTAACCCAGAGATACACTGCCAGAGTAATGTTGACTGTCACATGGGGTAGAGTTGTATCCTATACAATTTGACAACATCCAAATATCAAGAACATTGCAGGCAACCATGGAGTTAGATAGCCTCCTAGAATTCTCCTATCAAGTTTAGAAGAGAAGAATGAAAGTGGGAGTCCTAAAGAGATCACCAACTTTACATGCTGCACTGTAATGTACATACCAACCCATTGGGGTATACTTGTCCCACACATCTAACTTTGCATTAAACTTCCATTGATTTTGGGTTAGTGTGAGAGGCAGAGCATGGCATGTTGTCCTGACACTAGAGTGGATTCATATTTGCCTGCTCTCATTTGTACACAAAATATATTTTGTATACCCAAATGGATAAAGTAGTTCTTGATTGTTGAAGGGGGAGGTATATATAGGTGATATAGTTAGCTTCTATCTTCAATTTTTTTCATTAATAGTTTATGTCCAAAGAATGAGATAGTGAACTCATTTTGGGAAGTTATGGATCAGTAAATGATTGTTCCTGAGGTTGTGCTAGATAAGTAAGTTTCCTGTTTTGTGTGCACAAAAGAAATTATGAAAATGGTAGTTGAAGTTGGGTACGAGAGAAAGTGAAGTATGTGGTAGAGTTGTGCAAAAATCTAGCATTGCTGCTGCATCTAGACCATGGCCATTTGTATACTGGAAGTGGTCTGTATCTTATCCTAAACCAGGTAGATTGCTAACAACAGGGGTTGCACTAAGTTCCTTGCCCTGGCCTCTTGCTCATGTGTCCCAGTGGTCCTGGGGACCCCTACAGGCAGAAACCTAGGGCAGCCCCTGTAACGAGCTCTTACCTCTGGCTACACTGCTTTCCCATATGGCAGAAATCAATTTTAAACTATGTGTATCATTCATTCTCTTACCATCTGCACTCCCATCCCCCAGTTTCATCACATGACCCACATGTTGCATTTGTGATCACATTGGTCCTCAAATTTGTCCACATCTAGACTTTATTGTTGGGTAAGGATCATACATGAGGAGTCACCCTTTAATTTTATTTCCACTAGATTGCAGACTCCAAGGGGAAAGGCCTACTCAAATCGAACCTAATAGTTCAAAGCACATGCTTTAGTTTTGGTATATGTGACGGATTTTTTTTTGTCAAAAGGGAATATATGAGAGGAATTTAAGGGCAATCATATGAGGTGTGACCTACCATGTGGGGTGGTGTCTCACACTATACTGTGAGGGCAACACTGCATGATGACCTGACAGGCATATTGGGAGGTTTATTTTGGGGAGGAGGGGGGGTCAATGGTCAACCCAGACTCATCCCCCCCCCCCCTCTCCCCAAATATGCCCCCAATGTGCCTGTCAGTGTCACTGAATGGGAAGTATGGGTGGGGTCACATGCATAGTGGTAGATTCAGAAATTTTTCATAGGGGGAGGGGGATTCCCTAGTTCTAACAACCCCACCACCACTCTCCATCCTACCGCCATTTTCATTTTTTGTCTGGGATAAAAACTTGGATATCTACTTCACTGGCCCTAATAATGATTAATGTATGTGCCTTTTAAACTAAAAAAATAGAAAGCAAACCTGGACATGGGGGGGGGGGGGCAGTTGCTCCCCCCCTGGATACACCACCGCATGCATATTGGGGTAGATAGAGGCACATTGCTCTATCAGCAGCAGTAGATGCCATGATGCGATGCTGAGATTTTTACTCAATAATCATTAGTAAGGAGAGCACAGTTAACTGACTCCGTGAACAGGGCATTTTGCAAGATCAAACTAAAAAAAATGCATGGTACGATGCTAAGGCACCTCATTGAGGCCTGGTGGCATGGTCTCAACCACACAAACAACAGGTTCGAGGTATTCATTAAGGATATCAGGTCTTTGTTCACTGATTATGATGACCTGATGATAGTCAAATGACGAAATTTGCAGGTCTAAGTAGCTTTGGAAAATAATCATGCAAACTGTCACAGTTAATTTCCAATGTGCTGTGGTAGGTCACAGACCATAGGTAGGTCACACCTCATACGATTACCAATTTAAGTATAGAAAGATGTGGCAGCAAAAAATATTAGTTTTATCTGAGAAGGAAGGACATTGATCAATGACAGAGATTTATCAAAGTCCTAATGAGGATGGTGATGTAAAATCTGTACCCAAAACTCTCTAATTCTATTGGGTTGGGAAAGGGCACCTTATCCAGAATCTGATGTCTTGAGATATGAGACAGAGGTTTGCAGATCTTCAAAACAAAAAAATTGAAGTTCATGAATATGCATAAAAATGTGATTGTTACAGAGAAGTCTAAGGGTGGATTTTTGAACAGAGCATTATCCAATAGTGCAGCTTTCTTTCAGAGAAAATGCATTATAAATCCGGTAAATAAAGCTGCATTAACGGATAGTGCTCTGTTCAAAAATCCACCCTAAAGGCTTGGAATTTCCTCCGAAGTGGTATCAAGTGGCACCATCAAACATTTCTTGATATGTTTTTGCTTTGCCTCACTCTCAGTTACTTTGTGTCCACTTTGGGTGTCATTGTCTCAGCAAGTGTGATGTAGGGGTTCCTTTTATTTCCTGGCAGCCAGCCCCAGAGAAACCAAGAGTTGAAGTGAAGAAGTTTGTGAAGATTGGGCGCCCAGGTTATCGTGTCACAAAACAACGAGATCCCGAGAGTGGCCAGCAGAGTCTTCTCTTTCAGATTGATTATCCAGGTAGGGCTGCATTCAGGCAATGGTATTTAAATTTAAAACTCCTCCATCTTAGTATTGGAATTAGGCCTATTTCAATCAAATGCTTAATTTTTTCTTGCTCTCACCAGAGGTTGCAGATGGAGTCTTTCCCAGGCACCGTTTCATGTCTGCTTATGAGCAGAAAGTAGAACCACCTGATCGGAAATGGCAATATCTACTATTTGCAGCAGAGCCATATGAAACAATTGGCTTCAAGGTAATGTGAATGTCAATTATACTGTTAAATAATTAGTTGCAAAACTAAGGTCATCATCCAACTGAAAACTCTCTTTGTAGGTTCCAAGTCGTGAAGTTGATAAATCTGAGATAAAGTTCTGGACATACTGGAACAAAGAGACAAAGCAGTTCTTCCTCCAGTTCTCATTCAAGATTGAGGCACCAAGACCAAAGACAATGATGGCTCCACCACCACCGCCTCCAGGCCAGATGAATCTTGGTCACAGGCCACCAATGATGCATGCTCCACCTCCACCTCCTCCCATGGGGATGCATCATGGACATAATGCACCCTATCGAATGATGGCTCCACCACCAATGGGATATGGAGAGAATGCACCGCCGATGGGTCGCCCATACATGCACGCTCCTCCTCCACCCCCTCCAATGCGTGTGGCAGCTCCTCCACCTCCTCCTTCCCAATTATCACATGCCTCAGGATCTAATCCCCAAGCTCCTCCACCTCCCCCATCTTTCAATCCCATCCCCCCTCCACCACCAAAAATTGGCATTAATTCCACTCCTGCACCACCCCCTCCACCTAAGATCAACTAATGAAGCAGTAGACTTACTTCTGGTTTTCTGGAATTTTGCTGTTTTTGACTTGATGCATACTGTGAAGTAAATGCTTTTTTGAGCAATATGTTGATGATTCAGACTTATATCAAGGAAACATTATTTGGCAGAGAACTCTTGAGGTCATGACATATGTTCAATGAGGTTTTATTTTGAATGTCAAGCTAATTGAAAAGAAATCACTTCAAAATTTGGCCCCCTTGAGAGGGTGCCAAATTTCCCTAATTTCAAATCCCCCCTCACCCTCATTGTCTCACAGGAACTGGGGGAAGTAGGGGTGAACTTGGCAAGAACAATGTTTCTCAAGTAAGCCTTGTTTGAACCTTGTCCAGCTTCCTTAATCACCCACAGCAGGTGACAGGGAATGAGGCAAACAATTATGCAAATCCACTGGGCATTGCCTGGAATTGCATGCAGGGCTGTAAGTCAGGGGGGGCACCTGCTCTCGGCGCCACTTAAGGAAGGGGGCAAAGCAAGCGAAAGGCGAATGAGGCCCAGAAAAAAAAAAGTGTTGCTCAGTGAAAATAAAATCAAGCTGCAAAGAAAGTGGATTTTGATCATGTCGTTGACATCTTTGCGTTTCGCAAAGCAAGGAAAGCTGTGCTATAACTGAAGGGGTTTAGGAAAAAAATCCACCTGGAAATAAGACCCCCAGATTTGGCAAAGGTAGAAAAGTGTCATCCCGCTATGTTCGGGTCAGATTAAAGACTCCAACTTCAGCGCATTCCTTAAAAATGAACAGTATGGCAGGAAATCTTTTGATTGTGGCTGTGTTGCAGGATGAGGTGATTCCACTCTCTGAAAGCTTGGAATTTGTTCTCAAATAAAAGTTGCTCTGGGGTCATGTAAGGTTTTTTTTAATTATAGATTTAAAGAAGTGCTTCCAATCGAGCGATGCTTTGCATCTTCCGTCGTTTTATTCTAAATGGAAACGAATCAGTGATATTTTACTTGAATAATTGATGAAAATTCACCCTAAAATATTAAAAACATGGATAATTATGAGCCACATCCTTGCGTGAATGTGTCTCAACGTCGCCAAGTGAATGTCTTTAATTATCTGATATGTATAAATATAGAGAAATTAATAATTACGAGGCAACTACCCAGGTGGCTTTTTCCAGCTTTTGTCAATTCTGGGGTCTTTTTTCCGAACCCTAATTATAGAGGGCGACTCGCGAGCGTGTCAGTGAATACTCTGGATACTCATGACTATTCCGTATAATTGAATTTTAAAAAAGCCAACTTGGCTTTGCCATTCAGATTCATTTAAAGGGAGGGCGTGCAAACGTAGACGTGGATACGCAGGTACAAGTCAGGGAAAACGCCGTGAAGGGGGGGGGGGGACGCGTTCATGACTCCCTGCCCCGGGGCGCCACATGGGGTATTTACGGCCCTGATTTCATGAAGTCTCATCTTCCTGGTTGTCAATCATAGAATTTTGATGGGTTTGCTATCATTTTGGGAGTTCTGATATTTGACTAAACCATGTTAAAATTCAGATTTTACCAAGAATAATGATGCATAATGAAAGTAGCTTTCATATCCTGCAATCATATTTTATCTCCCACTGCTTGGACAGGACAGGGGTTGTTTTTTGACACTGTAGTGTGACCATGTCATCAAAATACACAACACTTTATGTACATTGTCTTTCACAGAGTCAAAATGGTCTACACACCAAGTTCCATAACATTGTGTCCACTGGTTTCCTGGGAGCTGTCATCTGAACAGCTGAAGTGATGAGTTCTTGATACAAACATGGACATGATAGTAATTGTAGCCCAAGGTATATTTGGAAAAAAAAATCTCCCTGTCTTTCAACGAAAAATGTAGCTATTACTGCTACTGTTTTCGTGAAACTTTTGCCTGTGCAGGCCATGTTAACGTGAGACTACTTGAATTTCAATTAAGTTCATTATGCCAAAGGAAGGTATTTAGCATTGCGTTTTAAGGCAGATTTCCTCGTGGCTCTATGCTGGAAACTCAGGATCAGCAAATTAATGTCTTTGCAAACATATTCTATGTGCTGCATGATATAATTATTTTCACTCCTGAAAGCAAAACCAAAGGATTTCACCTGAACTGTTCAGCTTTCCCATAGAAAGGTTATGCTTTCCGGTGGGAATCGAGGATCTGAACTTCTACCTCAGGTTTCACTGAGGTATCCCTAAGATTTTGTCTTGCACAAAACTTTCGACTTCCTTAATTGCTAGTTCCATGCTAGCCAAGGTCGACATTTGTGCAGACAACCTCACATTGTGAGCGAAAGTGTTCGGAATGGAGAAAACTGGCATCCCAGTTATCTTCCTTTTCTGAATGAAGTTTGAAGCAAACACCAATAAAAAGTACTTCTCCAGTCATCACCAGGCTAGCATCGCTAACTTTGATTTGCTAAGGTAGAACAAGAGTAAAATAATAATCTGGGTGGACATTCGGATTTCTTTTTCCTTTTCACTCATGGGTCATTCACCAGATAGCATTTTTGTTGGGGGGTCCAATATTGATCCAATGTGATCCTCTAACGCGTGGACACGTTGGCCCGTTGTTGGTTATTCACGTGGGTCCCATGTAAAGGAGACCTTTGGGCCAAGGTGGGGCCAACGTTCACAACTTCCAGTATGCCACCGTTTAAACCGCTTACTTCCCACCTACTAAACACAGAAGCTGTATTGCTTGATCCGTGGAGAATGCCTCATGCAATCCCCAGAGATGGTATCTGGTATCCCCAGAGGGACTTTTCTACATGTTCAGGTCTATATTGAATTTTGAAGGGCAATGTCGAACTTGGTGGTGGGAAAATACGTCCATAGGAATCCATAACGATGCAGATTCAAAGAATTAACCAAGATCCCCACGTCTAAACTTCACCCAATCTGCTGTACATTGCAATACTGTACCTGTTTCTGCGCAGCTATATAAAACTAGAATGTTGTTTAACCTGGCATATGTGAAGCAACATGTTGCTCACTTGATATGTTAAATAATCCGTATTCACGGAACACTTCATGCACTGCTATTCCATAGTAGTCAAGAAAATATATTCAAGTGTATGAACTACGGGTATCAACGGTTAACCGGTTAACCGACCGATCGTTACTAACCAGATTAGCCGTATATTGGGAGCCCTAGTCATACAACTTTGATAACAGAAATATGGATTGAATATCGACACATACACTTGAGCCGATCCGAACTCAAGATTAGGAGAAAATCCAAGAATATTTAGAGAATGGTGTTTATGCAGAATCAGTTTCTGAGCTTCCCCAAAAGGGACCAACCAGTTTTCTGGTTCAGCTTTTGTCTGTCTTTGGTCGCTTGTTGCAGTAGCGCTTCACAGACACTTTCTATCCGAGAGAATTTCTCACCTTGCCAGTCAAACCGAGACGTCCCTGAACGATGCTAATGTCCAACGATGCCCACGCGAAACTTCAAGCATGGATCTGAAACACGGAGAGGTTGGCCAATCCAGGATCCCCGCCGCACAGAAGTAGCGTGTTTAGGAGGTCGCATTTATGTGGAGGTTTCGGCTCCAAAAGCCATTGGGCGAGTTCAAATCTGGTGTTAAGGGATGGAGTTAGTGTTACACGGAACACTAACACGGAACACCAACACCGAATTTGAACTCACCCATTGTTGTAGCCCACGTGTATTGTGCAGTGATGTATCATCATTCCTACGAGATGATAGTAATGTACATAAGGCCTCCCCAGCGAAGCAAGGCAGCGAGCACTCTCAGATATGGTCGTCATCTTGAGACTGGAGCCGCGCCTGATCTCCCTAAGTTTCCATTCAGGAATGGCGTTCGGTCTGCCGATGGGTGCAAAACGATCAATACAAGATGCAGCATGCCCATGCTGGACTTCCTTTACTTTTGCTCTCAGGAATATCATAATATATATGAAGACGAAGGGTGCTTGTTCTGTAGATTTTTACAAATAGTCAAGAAAAAACTTTATGTCGATATACCTGTATTTCAATATATCAGAGTACAATAGCACTCACTTCTACTCTTTTCGACTATGGTAAAGTTTTCAGCTTATTCCTCTCGCACTTCTCACATTGTGGTCTCATGGACTTGCTCGAAGACGTGCATTGCTTTTTGCTCATGAAGGCTGTGCTAAAGGACAGAAGCACGGGGTGCTAAGGTTTTTGCCTGAAAAGCGTTTCGGAATTGCTCGCTACTGTGATCACCCATTATACAGGGTTGATTTTAAAAAAATCAACGTGGCCCCTCCATGCAGGAAGATGAGGTTCAGTTTCACATCAGCAAGGTTGAAAAATCGAACACTGGTAGCGAACAGGTGGTCCGAAGATCCCTATCCTGCGGAGGATCCGAATGATGAAACCCCTGTAATGAAAGTAGATTTCTTGCTATCATGACTGCAAGTGAGAGCCTTGGTACATATTTAATTGTAATGAACATCGCTCACCCCATTGTATTTTTGGCTACATGGTCTGCGTCTTCCTCAAAGGCCGCATTCGGCAGTGGATTGCATTCACTCAAATCCCGTGACAATGCCAGAAAAATCACCATCATGGAGATTATGGTAACCTAGAAAGATAAAAACATTCAAGTCAAAATGTTGATCGAGTGCAGACACAGCCTCTAACATGACCAAAACGCTTAACAAGAATCGTTTTAAGTTCCGCTAAAAAAAAAATAAAGGAGGAGGAAATCAAGATTTTTTACTCTCGATCCATGATTATCGATTCGGAATAATCTGTTCAATGTGCATGCCAACCGTATCGTATCGTTCAAAACATAATGCTCTTTTTCGAATTGTGTTGGACCAGTTTTAATTCTCATATTCCTAATTACCACTTTAGCTGAGCGAAGCCTTCTGCCAATGTGACGAGTGACGAAACTGAATAATTAAATGAGGTTAGAGGACATGAGAAGTCAAAAAGTAAATGTGAAGGTTTCTCAAGCATCCCGCAGCTTAGGGATAATACGTTCTATATGCATACTATATATTTCAACTTCCTACTCCATACTTATTCATATCCTGCATCGCATTCAGGAGCCTAGCTCAAATCGAGCCTGGTCGTTAACCTCCACTGCAA